GGTCTTGAGATGGGATTAAAATTCAATATAAACCCACTACTTCGGATCAGTACAACTAGTCATAAGACTAAAGTGCTACCAGCAACATCAAATAAAATAAAAAAATTGACGGTGAAGAATAAAAAAATTTTGCGAGCTCTGGGCTATCAATTAAAGCAGAATGCCTGAAAGTGATATTTTGGATATAACTTCGCAGTACGAGACGGATTCTAAAATTACGAAAGTTGAATATCATTCCTACACACCGTATACTACATCATTTAATAATAATGATGAAATACGTATATCAATCCAGCAAACGGATGTTTATCCATATCTACACGAAAGCTTTATTTTTTTGGGGGGGACAATTACTGATGCTACCAAAGTGAAACTAACTAATAATGGTTACTCTTACCTCTTCGAACAAATACGATTGGAAATCAATGGGATAGAAGTAGATAGCACACGTGTTCTTGGAATCACTAGCTCGTTGAAAGGTTACTTATCCTGTACGCCAGATAACTACAATTGCTATGAAAATGCTGGCTGGAATTTTAAAAACTTAACGCAATCGGAAAATGACAAAGGTGAATTTAGTGCTTGCATTCCATTGAAATATTGGCTAGGTTTGTTTGAAGACTATAAAAGAATATTAGTGAATTCTAGATTGGAATTAATATTAACTCGAAGTCATAGTGATTTAAATGCTTTACAAGCTAAAAGTGGTGCTACTGTTACTGAAGGTAAAGTTACCTTAAATAAAATAGTCTGGAAGGTTCCACATATAACGGTCGACGATGAAGAAAGGCTAAAATTATTGAAACTTATAGAAAAAGAAAAAAGTCTATTTATCCCTTTTAGATCTTTTGAAACTTTTGAATATCCTGAACTCGGAACCACTAAAAAAGTTGTGTGGAATTTGAAAACTGCTTCAAAATTAGAAAAACCACGATTCATCATAATTGGATTACAGAAAGGACGCAAAAATGTGTTATCAAAAGATTGTAGTATATTTGATCATTGTAATCTAACAAACGTTAAAGTATTTCTGAACTCGATAGCTTATCCATACGATAATTTGAATTTAGATTTTTCGAAAAATAATTTCACCTTATTGTATAATATGTATACATCTTTTCAAGAATCGTACAATGAAAAAAGTATTCGTAACCCGATATTGAGTCCTTCTACTTTTGTAGCAAACGCACCAATTATAGTTATCGACACTTCAAAACAGAACGATTCAGCCACGGCCTCAGCAGTGGATGTTCAATTGGAAATTGAAGCTTCAGATTCGCTTACAGGTATAACTGCTTATTGTTTATTAATTCATGATCGTATTGTAGAATATGTACCTTTTACTAGAGAAGTAAGAAAACTTGTGTAAATATATTTAAGAATTAATTTTCAATGATAAAAAAATCTATTATTACATAACTTGTGTTCTGTATTTTAAATAATTATTTCATTTTAGTAATAAGGTTTGTTTGAGTGTGCAAACTCTTCATAATTTTTACACGGTAAAATTATTGTGTCCAAGGGGGACATCCTCCCTTGGACGGTGTGAAATTACCGTGTAAAAAGTGTGTACATTTTTCATAATTTTTACACGGTAAAATTATTGTGTCCAAGGGGGACATCCTCCCTTGGACGTTGCGAAATTACCGTGGTGACACAAAAAAAAGACTGTGAACATACAAATCTATACTACTCACGATACTATTTATTGTGCTATCTCTAGTGTGATAGCTTGTATACTCATTTTTAGGTCCGTGTGAATTATAATATAGTATACTAGTTTAAGGAATCATACTAGCTACTATACAATTGTTGGTAATAAAACATGTCCTATTTTCCACACTATTTACCAGCATATAAATATTGTTGGCCAATCAGAATACAGACATCTTATCAATCAAAATCATTATCACGATCGAGATCGACACAATATACAAATTATCACTATGAACGGCATGAACCCGCATTAACGCCATTAAACTTCATATACTTTAACTACCTTATTCATGATTAATACAAACGGTAAAATAAAATAAAATATGCCACCAAAAATATCTTTGCCTTGGCCCACCCAATCAATATCTACACTTACAGAATATATTAAATCTAATAATTAATCTATTCTGTGAATTAGAATGAAAAATGAATCTTTTCTGTCTCTGTGGTAGTGTGGTTATAACTTTATGACAGAAAAAAGTAAAAACTAAAAAGTAAACTATGATTCATGTGTATGCACATTATAGTGTGGACATCAACTACCAAAATAAACTCGTTAACACGTCTTATCATTTAATATTATCATAAAATAATCTGGTTGATAAGAAACACTGCCTCAAAAGGCTCGTGCGATTATCATTGCACTCGGTGCAAAAAACTGGCGTAGTGCATTGACGTGAAACATAAAATAGTCCACTCGGTGCACATTAATCTTGCCGGTGGAACATAAAAATGTGCACTGGTGCAGTCAGTGCAGACCGGTGGAAAACGCCATTATTGAAATGTATAGCCAACATAGTTGTTTATATGATACAAAAATGCCAGTATACCACAATAAACATATTCGGCAAAAAGCCTTGGAGGATATTGCGTTAGCACTACAACCATACAGACCTAACACAACATGGCAAGAAGTAAAAGTAAAAATTGCAGCGTTAAGAACTCAATTTGGAGTAGAACACAATAAAGTGAAGACCTCATCGAAGAGAGGTACTGGTACTGATGATGTAAGTACAATATGTATTTTATAATCCTATATTTTTATGTACGGCTTCTACGACATATCTTCTGGCTTTCTTATAGGTAACTTTTTACTTAATATAATCACTTATAATTACTTTAAGCTTATTATACAAAATATGTATAGATTTTTAACTCAAAAAAAAATACAAAAATATCTTTGTTTTTATAATATTTTATATGTATTAATATTGTATTAGAATACCTATTATTATTAATAATATTTTATACATTTTTATATTTTCAGATTTATGTCCCATCACTGTGGTATTACAATAGCATGTTATTTTTACAAAAACATATAACACCCAGAAAAAGTATTGAAACTCCTGTTCCACAGGTCAATAGAATTCATAGATATTAATAATTAGTACATTTTGCTTACTTTATAATATTATACATAAGCTAGAAAGAAGTATATTTTTTGGATGTATCAGTTCCCTAAAGAAGTACAGTACAGTGTATTTGAAATTGATAATGTGGTTGAGGAAGAAGATATACAGACAGTTGAAGTAGAAGAACATATGAGTTGCTCCGAGGACCGTTTTGCTAAACATAATATCGATGAAGGTAAAATATCGAATAGTATACTATTAACATGTTAATAATAATGAGTGTTAAGGTGGGAAAGTTAATACAAAACATAAATTTGAATAGTCAAATTACTGAAGTAATAAGTAGTTAGTTTATTAGATACTTAAGTGTATTTATTTATTGAGTAAATTCCAACTACTAAAATATTACACAAAAAACAAAATTCTAATAAAATCTAAAGAGAGGAGTCTGTTGATCACCTCCATTGGCTGTGCGTCGATGAGAGTTCTAATAACTTATAAAAATTTTAAATTCATGCTTGAAAAATTGAAGTTACATTTAAACTTAACCATTATGGTTCACAACAACTAGGTATTGTAAATGTAATTAATATTGTATACCTTTAATGTTAGTTGCTTGAAACTATTGGAATTATAAGTCTCGAGGATTAATTTTAAAATGTATAGTTATTTTAAGTTTATAAATACATAATGTGGTCCTAATTGAGCAAAAGTTGTTCTTAACTTAAGAATATTTATATTGAATTTTTTTTTAATCTTGTATTATGACTATGAGTATATGACGACTTATAGTATTCTTATGCTTAAATAATAGTGTACAAACATAGCCATGTCCATGAGTCTTGCCTGTCATGCACAGGCATGACTTGCAAAATTTGATATTAACAGGGGTATAACAATTGATAATACTTCCTTTGTTACCATTAGTGGTATATATTTGTATGTCCTGACTTTCTTAGCACCTTTTTTACAAGGAGATTTCTTCAGTTTAAGGGGGCATTTCTAGTGGCTTTGTGAATTTTTTTTCCTATGAAACAAGTACCCACGTCCCACACACTAAAATTCATATTAGCAGTTAGCACCCCCAAGTTAACCATTTTCAAAAACCAAAAATCTTAAATTTTCATATTTTGGAAAAATTAAAAACATTATATAATTTTATAAATAAAGTAAAATAAAATATTATAAAATGACCCCTTAAATTCACCAACTAGATTTACTTTCCTACCAAAAAAGATGCTGAAGTTGAACATTTAAGCATTCCAATACTTGTTAATGCCCACCTTGAATAATTTTATGTATGAATATGATTGAACAGTTGCTTATTTATTTATGTTTTTATTGATATTATAGAAAATATGACACCTAGGAGAACCTCATCAGCACCATCATGGTTAATTGATGATGTACCAGCCACAAAAAAAGAACAAGATGACCATTGACAATACGCTTAAAAAGTCAGAAGAAGCATTGAGTAACATTGCAAAGGCTTTAGCAGTACCATCAGTGCCACCATTAGATAATGCATCGCATAGCTTATCTCAATTTATAAGTGCTACGCTGCAATCTTTTAAAAATCCTACCCTTAAAATTGAAACGACACAAAAAATATTAAATATTTTAATGGAAGCTCAACTTAATGATATTCCTTAAATTACGTTTTAAAAAAAAATTAGTATTAACAATATACATTTATAGTCAAGTAAGACTGAGTAAAAGTTATTATATAATAATTTATTTAATAAGTAAAAAGTTTGTTTTGTTTTTTTTATAAATAATTTTAATTTTATATAATTCCTTATAACTGAATAAGGTAAAAATGAAAGTTTTGCTTTCAAAAAAAATTGTTTTTATGTTAAAAGTGAGTTTTTTATTTAATTATTAATAATACAAAAAATGACTGTCAGACTGTTCATTGGTATAATATACTTAAAAATTTCCTTTTTCCACAGCAATTTGCTGCCATGGTACTTCTCCTGGTCCATTAAAATATTTTAAAAATTCATCACGTATGTTATAAGCTGTGTTGGTGGATCTATTGCCACCTTGATTGAAGTTAATGGATCTCATCTGACATATGTTTTGTGTTTCTTCATTATCTATTACTTCTAGTACAGGAAATCTATTTCTAATGAAATTGTGTAATACACAACAAGTCCTTGTTATTAATTCAACTTTAGGTGGAGATAAATTTATTTTTGTCAACAAAATTCTAAATTTATTGGACAATAACCCAAAACCATTTTTCACGACTCTCCGAGCTCGGCTAAGCCTATAGTTTGCAATTCTCTGTTCATTGGTTAAGCCTCGTGAAGAATATGGCTTCATCAATTGCGGTCCCAAAGGAAATGCGTCATCTGCAATAATCACATAGGGAGTATCTACTTGACTTCCTGGTAGTGGTCTTGGAGAAGGAAGGTTAAGGGTATGGGATTCTAAAGCTTCTTTTAAGTTACTTTCTCTATATACAGCATCATCATGATTTCTTCCATTAGAACCTACATTTATCCAAATAAATTTGTAATTGGCATCAACTAAAGCAAGCAGAATAATGCTATCTGTCCCTTTATAGTTTCTATAGTATGAACCACTTGAACGGGGAGGTATGAAATTAATATGCTTCCCATCAAGAGCACCTATGCAATGTGGGAAATTCCAAAAAGAAACAAATTGATCTGCAATAACATCCCACTCTTCTGTTGTTGATGGAAGCTAAACATTAACCAATATACTTAATACTTAATTAATTAATTTAATTCATATTGATGGTAGGTACTAATTTAATTTTTATAATCACCTTAATTTCATTTTTAAAAGCTTCATAAATTGCATTCAAAGTGTCTGGTATAAGGATGCTCAATGTATTGGTTGCAATACGAGTAGAGTAATGAAGATTTGTATAGCTTTCACCAGTAGCTATAAACCTTAAAGTTGCTGCTAATCTGTAATATTAATATATTACCAGGGTCTGTGCTGCTAATTCAATTCTAGCCCCCCATGAAAAATTTCCCTAGTTATAGATATAAGTTAAAGTATAATAATAATAGTAATATAAAGTATAATATTATTAAGTATGTTAAATAAGTTTTGATTTTACCAATCTATTAAGTGTTAAACACTACACACTTTGAAAAAAAAAATTAAATATTCAATTCTAAGTATTTAAAAAAAAAAAAAAAATCGCGGAACAAAAAAATGAAGTTTTTGAAGTTTTTGATCAATAACTTCAAAACTAAGTTCGTCCGGGCTTTTTCTTTTTCATTCTTATAAAGCACCCTAAAACACACATTTTGGAAAAAAAAATTTTTAAAAATCGATAGGTTGCTAAACTAGAATTATGCCACCATGTTTAATTTCTAATGGTAATATATTATTGAACATTTTTGAACCAATATATAAGTATGTGGATTGTGTTAATTTTGTGTGCATTATAGGTACTTTGATATTAGATATTTGTCTAGTCGTATTATAAAGTCTAGTCAACTTATAAGTTGTAACCTTTCTGGTGGTTTTATACATTGTCTCATTACAGTATCCATTCGAGTTATTTTAATTAAAATTTCGTTGAACATATCCTGATCCATTCTCAAATAGTTCATGTATGATTTTTCATCTTCTATTCTACAAAGTACAAAATATGTTTTTTAATTTATATTATATATTATATTTAAACAATATAGGTAAGTACCTACATTGTATCTATTAAAATATGAATTTATTAACTTACAATAATTCATTTTGTAGCATACTAAAAGAACCTGGACCTTTTTCTCGACGAGAAATCCATTCTTTCACCCACACATTTCTATTTTTTGGTGCTTTTAATAACTTGTGTATTAATATTATGTTATGCCCAATAACACTAGCAGCAATAGCTAACAATTTTTCACGAGAATCCATACTAAAAACCAATCAACCTACCTATTTGTTTATTTATCAATATATAAATCAAGTCTCTAAAATAAAATGTAAAGAGTAATTGTAGAAACAAAATGAATTAAAGTAGTATATATTTGTATGTTCACAGCCAGCTTTTCCAGGGAAAAAAAAAAGTTCAAGGGGGGAATGTCCGCTTGGAGTACTCAGATTTACCGTGTAACACATTTCACACCGATTGTCTACCAAATTCTGCCTCGTAAAAATATTTACAGTATTTCATTTCTACTCATGTTGGTTACACTGTTTTTTTTATCTAAAATTTGATAAACAAATTTACAATAATTTTTAAAGTTGATTATTTTCTTTTATTATATTCAGTCATGACAAAATTTATTTTGTGTCACGTTCACTAATTTTCTCAACATCTCATCAAATTGTTTTTTTTCTTAGTATATATTTGTATGTTCACAGCCAGCTTTTCCAGGGAAAAAAAAAAGTTCAAGGGGGGAACACACGTGTAACACATTTCACACTGATTGTCTGCCAAATTTCGTCTCACGCAAAAAAAATATTTAATATTTTTTTTCTTTTTTACTCGTGTTGGTTACACTGTTTTTTTTATCTAAAATTTGACAAACAAATTTACAATAATTTTTAAAGTTGATTATTTTTTTATTATATTCAGTTCATAGAAAAAAGATTAATGATTCAGTTACTAATGATCTATCGTTCACTCAAGTTGTGTCTCATTTTTCTTTATTTTCTCAAAGTTTTATTAAATTGTATAAGTTATTTAATTTCTTCAAAAATGCACAAACGATATCCAGTCATTGGTCGATCAAATACGATTCAATTCAACGCCAGCGTATCCAGAATTCTCTACATTTGTATCGAGGTTACGAACTTTTAAAAGTTTCCCTTCAAATACCGGACAGAATAAGTACACACTCTCGGAATGTGGATTTTACTATATCAATCTCGACGACGCAGTTCAATGTCATTGGTATGGAATAATTCTACATAGTTTTGAAATCGATGATAATTGTTTTATAGAACATCGATTCTCACCTAGATGTTTATTTGTATTGTTAATGAAAGGAAATCAGTTTGTTCAAAAAGTCTTAAGTAAATATTGTAAAACCGAAGTTATTTGTAATTGTGAAACCAGTTCGTACGACACCATTTGTTAAATCATGTTTTTTTTTTTAAATGTTTATATATACATATATTTATTTATGCTGCTTATAATATTTGCTGTATTGGATAAAAAAAAAAATAAAAAAATAAAATTTTTTATCTTAAATGTGTTAATATTCGATTTAATATCTCGTGGACATACAGTTCTAGCGAATTAGTGCGTATAAAATAATTTAAAATGTTTTTCAGGTAACAGGTTAGTAAGTATATGTAAATTCCCTCTCTTGTACGCACCCATTGGCTATCTGTATGTTCACATTTTTTGCATTTTTTTCCAAAGAGTTTTTTAGTATATAATATCACTGCAAAGGGAACAAACTAACAGTTCAATGTATAACTCCTAACAGTTATATCTCACTTCTTATTTATAAAAAAAGATTTTTTTTTTTAATTTGACAAAAATAACTTCACTATGAGTTCACCAATAATTGTCTGTAAGTCTACATTCGACATCCGGGCTTTTAACAATAAAAGTATTACAGTTGGATTACTAATTAACAAGCAGATTTCAATTATTTTATTATTGGAATGTAAACTTACAAAGAAAATTATCACATTAAGTTTAGAAGAATGGTTTACACTGATGTCTGAACCTAATTACAATTCGATTATTAATAATATAAATACTAAGGTGAGGCGTGTAAAAATCACTGATTCCTTTTCATATTCAACCAATGTTAAACAAAGTTTAATTACCCTACATCTAAATGAGGAATACATTACCTTGTCACATGTAGATTTGTACCGGCTTCGTCAATTACAGAATTTGATAGATTTGTACGTGGTAGACAAGCAAAAACGTTTAGCAAATTATCAATATACTTTCAATACTGCATATGACCTAATTAAAAATGATGTCCGTGGTCTGCCGTCCACCTGTCAGAGGAACGAATTTACCAACCAATATATTCAAAACTATTTTAATTATTATAATCAAATACAGAACGATGACACATCATTTTTATATGAAATATTACAATTCCATTTTAACACGTTGTCTGATATGATTTTACAAGATCTAATATTATAAAAAAATATTTAAATATGTATAATTACCTATTGTTTTTTTTTAATAAAACCTTTTTTTTCAATAATAAACTTGCTTTTTATTTTAATTACATCTCACCTTAAATCATAAAGAATAGTTTTAATAAGTTTTAGTTTTAATATTATGTTTTAAAAGTAGATTAAATTTGTTAGTATTTTAAATTACTATAATTTTTAAATTTTTAAATTTTCTTCCAACCAACCATAGTTTATAGGTTTATGTTTTCCAAGACCTTTAAGTTTTGAATAAATAAAAACATACATGTATAATAATATTTTGTTTATTAAATGAAACTCATTTTTCATAATATAATAATCAAACGGTCGTCTTGCTTTTAATAGTCTGACGCTTTGGATAGGTTAGTAATTTGTCAAATATGGTTTGTATTGTCTCATTAAGACCAGTATGAAGCATTTGATCTTTTGATTCATCGCTCGTATATAATCTGACAGTAGATTCAATGAACTTCCATCTATAACAGCAAATTATTTTATTTTAAAAACAAAAGAAGTAAATAAAATCAGTGAAAAAAAAAACAGATTAATCAATATTTTAAATTTAAACCAATGTATTTACCTGTCTTTTACTGGTACATTCTCAATACCTAATATAAGATAATATCATACATTGTAAAATGACTATAATATTTTAAAAACTTTCAGCTTATTCTTATAAGATTGTTAACCGAAATATTATAACATTAAAACATGAAGTGAAAAATATGCAAGAACGATTGGATATAGTAATCAATATTCAAGAAAAGATGTATGAACAACTATGTAATTCACAAGTTAAAAACCATGCTTCTTTAGATGAATAAAATGATTTTGATATAATATGTATTGATAACGAAGAGGATCTGAATATTATGGAACAAAAGTTAACCGAGGATGAATCGTTCAAGAAATCTATGGTAAAATTAATTATTAATTATTTATATATTTATTTAATATGTAACATTTCAACATTTCAACATTGAAATGCAATAAAATTAACAATGACATATTTATAGATTAAACAGTTAAGCCGTTTGATGGGACAAACTATTCCTGAGACAGTGAGGAAAGTTATGAAAACTCTTTTTACTGATTCATTTCTGACTGAATTTTCTTTCATTGGGTTTAAAGGAAAAAATAATTTTTCAACACTAAAAACTTGCAAAGTCATATTTGGTAATTAAATTTATTAAATAATAATAGGAATAATGTACACAATACATCACACTAAATTAATCTGATTGAAACTAATGTAACCAACTAATCGTTGAAAAACATATATGATTTATTTTTTCAAAACAATTTAATTATTGTTATTTACTCTCATTTTAAAAAATAATTACAGCAAGTTTTTTCTTGGCATAAAGACTGCTTATTACTGTAGTTAAACTTTGATCTTATTGAGAACCTTTGAGGTGATTAATACATACCCTGCAATATTGTACCTTTTGTATTATATTTCATTGCAACTATCTACATTCTAGATCTGATAATAATTATTTATTTGCTAATAATAAAATATTAATTTTTTAACATGTTTAGAGTCAATCCGAAAAATGAAAAAATTTTCTAATTCCACTGATGTTGAAATTAAAAAGCCTCTCAAAAATTGGATGGCACAGGCTACTCCACGACTCAGAAAAATTGCACTACTTGAAAAAGGCGAAAAGCATGGTTCACCCAATACAAACAGTTGTTAAAGTTCATTAAAATGTTTTTTTTTTTTTTTTTTTTTTTTTTAATATGTCATTAAATATCAATATTAATCAAATTAAATGGCAAAAGTATTAAAACAGAATTTCATATCGTGAGTGCTCAATTCTCAATACCTAAGGACGGAATATTAGGAAACGAGTTCTTGTCGAAAAATAACGCAATAGTCGATGTAGCAAACAACAAATTAATCATTCAAACGACCTCGCATACACTAACAAATTTCAAGGAGGCCGACAAAACCAGTTTCATTAAATTAAATCCGCGGACCGAAACTATTGTAGGAATACAGATAGCTGACCCACTAACAGAAAGCAAGGAAATATTTATTCATAAACAAGAACCAGTAAAAGACGTATATTGCAGTAGTATAGTGTCTATCGTTAATAATGGTAGAGCAAGACTTAGCATGTTGAATATATCGGAAGAAACGAAAAATATATCTGAAATCGATTTAAATAAAAAAATACTCTATGATACCGAATACGAAATATATAATGTAGAATCGACAAATGATCACAATGAGCGAATAACACGTTTGAAACAAATAATAATAACTGACCACATGGACGAAATTGAAAAACAGTCCATTTATGAGATATGTGAACGATATAATAGTATATTTCATTTGGAAGGAGATGTTCTAATCTTTACCAATGTAGGCACACATTCTATTAAGTTAAAAAAGGATCAACCACCTATTTATCGTATTACCACACGCCCAACAGGACGAAATAAATTCACAAATTCAAAAAATGGAAGAAAATGGAATTATCGAGAAATCGAGAAGTCCATGGAATCCCCCACTATTATTAGTACAAAAGAAAATGGATAATTCAGGCAAACAAAAGTTTAGAGTAGTGGTAGACTTTAGAGCACTTAATGAAGCTACTATAAATGAGTTTCACCCTTTACCAAATATTACAGAAATACTAGATCAACTAGGAAATAGTCAGTTATTCTCCATTTTAGATTTATCGAGTGGTTTTTACCAAATTTTGATGGAAAAAGACTCACGAGAGTTAACAGCCTTTTCGACTAACCAAGGTCACTGGCCTTTCAAACGA